GCAGCACTAATACACTGCTGACTAATGACTGGGCCATGCGGACAATGAATTTGGGGGTTGAAAACTAACAGAAACCGTGCAGTACCTTGACAAATGGGCTTTCAAAATTTCATTCACTGAATAACCTTTAAGCACAAAATTGGCTCAAGTTCTCTCGGGAATAATATGACACATGTTGTTGGACAATAAGTATTTTCCTTTTTAATTAAAACTATTACAGCGAATACATAAACATGATTACAGTGAATAAAATATAAGAATCAACTATTTAGCACCTAGAAAAGACCAGACTCTGAATGTGAGGGGTAATACCCTACGTTCAGAAGGGTCAACAAATCCCAGGGTTAACCACCTGATTCACTGAAATTCATTCTTGGCAGAATATATTTTCCCTTCTTTGAGACATAAAGGAGAACAAGAACTTCAAAGGTATGTTTAATGAGCTGCTACAAGCACAATTGGTTAAAAGAGGCTCAGAAATTATGTACTAAAAGCTGCATTGTGCTTAGAATTACAACTGAAAAAGTCTCTTTTAAAGAGCCTCATAAAACAAATCAAGCCTCTTATAAACTTTGTCACCTTGTGTACTGACAAACACATTAAAACAACAGAATCCCTCTTTAAAGGAACTCCTTTTTTTCAGTGCAACTCGACTTCTAATTTGAAAATAGCAATTTTGGCTCTTTTTACAGACAGAATGAAATACCTAAAGTGTCCCTAAATTAACAAGTACCAATTGCCATAGACAGCATTGCCCTTAGCAGCTCCTAAAAAGTTCAGAAAAGGATCTTAAAACAGGAAGCTTAGTGAGCTCATAAAACTGTTGTTGGAGCCAGGAACACATAGCATATTTAATCTGCAAACTGTGAGAGTCTACAATGATTTCAGCAAGATCTGAGGCATGCCCTCAAGGTTTGCTGGGATCTGGGATTAGGGAGTTGATAAGAACCCTCTACTGCCCATGGACATGTTTTTCTTCTGCAGTTAAACACAAATGCATAGAGACGTTTGACTGCTGCTTGGCGTTACTGCTCAAGTTATATAAAAGCTTTGCAGCTCCTTTTGCTGTCAATATATCAAAGTTTAAAAAAAATCATCAAAGTGTGAAATTTCATTTAAAGTCTGCCAGTCTACAGCTCTATTTCACAGACCTATCAAATAAAAGTAAAGATGAAAAATGCACTGAAAGAACTTGAAAAGTTTGCAGCAGCACCCATGCCCTATTTTTGTTTATTCTGTCTCATTTTATTTGATTTTAAAGTATAACAAATCAATTCCCTTATAAAAATGACAGAGTCTAAAGGGAGGATGTCTATAAAACCTGTGGTTAAAAGACAACTTGAAATCATTATTACAGCTGAACCTTTTGTTAAATAAAAGCTTCCTCTGTAGCCATTTTAGCATTTTAATTGCCTAACTGCAAGTTGGCAGAAAATATCTTGAATCTTCCAAAACAACCAGAATTACTACAGAATATGAGTGCCAGAAAAATTAAAGCTTTCTTCAAAGTATTCTTTAGCTAGGGATTTACAACAATTGCATAAAGAAGAAAAGCCTGACTTTTAAGGTAATCTATCTATAGTCTAAAAGCATTAACATTCCACTAGTAAGGTTTTCCTGAGGATTTCATGACTCGTTGATTCACTTTTCCTTCAACTTTGCTTTTTCTTTGTACATTTCTGTGTCCATATAGTTGAACACATGCAACACTGATCATTAAAATGCCTCCTTCCATAACTTCAAATAAACCCTGCTTTAATAGCTCTCAAATTCCTTATTTATCAGGCAGAGATGACTAACTTTTCACTAACACTCTGCAACATAAAAATATGCCATTCCTTCCTCTAATATGCAGACTAGAATTCAAATACACTACAGGAGTACAGGTAATTGAATAGCTTTCCCCAAAACGAGGCAGGAAGTGTAACCGAAACTTTCATGGGTCACTATCAGTGCATACATTAATCTTGTTAAAAATTCGAGTAATCTGCAAGATGAACAAATTATAATGATGTCTCCAAACTTGAGTATTTTGGTTTTTCCAACACTATTCAGAAAAAAAAAAAATCATTTATAGTCATTGATACTTTAATTTCTTAGCTACACACTGTTTTTGTGTTTGAAAACGAACAATCTTTTACAACTGATGATTATGTATAACTCTTTCTTGGCCACTGCACACCTTCTCAAGCCAAAAATGTTTCTCTGTTTATGCAGGAAAATGCAGGTGATGTCTTTGTTTTGCAGTAGTCTACAGAAAAGCTATGGAAAACAGCATGTCCTGCTGAAAACCATATGCTATTACCAGAATGCAAGGCTGCATTCATTTGGGCACCTTAAGCCACAGTTTTGCTTCCACTGCTACTTAAAAGAATACACATACACTGAGAGAGTCCTTTTCTTACTCATTCTTCCTACTCATTCAAAATCACATAATCCTGCTTTTAAAGAAATAATTCCCTGTCCTTAAAATAGCCTCCTCTCATAGTTACTATTATTTATGCTTTTAGAATTGGGCTATACACAAAACTGAAAGTATTTACATACTAGCTGGTTATACCCAAACCTTCCTTATATAAACAAACTCTCAAGAGGCTGCCTACAGTTTACATTGCTAAACTCATTCACCATTACTTTTAATATATATTTCCACGACTGAAATACAGTGAAGATGGCAGTTTTTACATTTTTGGATTACTTTACTTTTAAAACACTGCATTCGTCTTCCTTCAAAATAATCATGACATATATAATTAAGAAACTGTCAGATCATTATCAATTTTTAATAAAGGACCTAAATGAAATAATTATAGGAATCAATCAGTGAGGCACCTCTCCAAATTACAATGCAATTGCACAAATATTCAAACTACTTAAGGCCAGTTCTGGAACATTTCAATCCATAATCTCTTTAAACACCACAACAAAACCAATTTTGGAACACAGAGAAACATAGTGATTTCTCACTATTCCAGTGACTTAAACGATTTCAAAACAGATACCTACAGCACAGAGAGACAGAGAGGCAGCCGTGCCCTCCTAAAAATGTTTCTTGGTTTAATCAGCCACATGTCTCAAGGCCTCTGGAAAATTTTGCTTCCAAGTTTTTCTGTAGCACGCACACAAAAGAAACGAAGTCTGCACGCTGAAGCTTAAAAAATCATGTTTATTGAGGCTTGCAAATGAAGCGGGAAGTAGCAAGGGTGCAACGAAGAGGAGCATTTTGCCGTGGGTTGCTACTTAATGTTCTTTTAGTGAAGTAGCCTCCAAAACGTGACACTGTGTATCAAACAGACAGCTATCCGTACCTCTGACTAAAAGGCTCTTTGAGATGAGTACAGTCCATCATTTCAAACTGAAGTGGCAGCTGGAAAATGTGGAACAGCTGGCAAGGAGCTGGGAGAAAATGTTTTACATAAATGTATCTACATACAAACTGGCAGAAGGCCACGGACACCGTACCCGCAGGACCGGATAAAAACTACGCACCAGAGAGTTAAAAACAAAACTGGGGAGTGAGATGGGGAGCGAGGGGCGTGTGTTTCCTTTTACCTTTTCTCTTCACGTGGTGCGCGGGTTGGGGAGCGGGCGCTAGCAGCTGCGAGCCGGCGGGCCCGTCCGAAGGCGCGGGGATTGTGCCAACACCCACCGACTTCACGGGACAATCGGAACCGCGGCGGGCGCGCCGCGCTCCCATCCTGCAAAGTTGGGCGGTGCACGGCCGGGCCGCGGTGCCGGCCCGGGGCGGCTCCGGGGCGCTCCCGCGGGGCGGCCGCGCCGCTCCTCCCGCCCGGCCTCGGCCGGGCCCGTCCCGCCGCCCCGCTCCCGCCGGACCCGCGCCAGGGCGGCGCGGAGCGGCCGAGCGCGCTGCTCACGGAGCCGCCGGCACCCCCGCGCCCCCCTCCGGGACCCGACCGTCCCCTTCCTCGCAGGGAGCAGCCGGCAGGGAACGACGACCCCCGGGCGCCCCTCCGCCCCGCCAGATGTGACAGCGGATTCGCCCCCGCTCCTCTCGCCTTTCCCCCTGCGAAGTTTGTGCCGGCCTCCCGCCGCACGGGCGTGAAAACCCCCGGGAGTCGCTCAGGGAGTAGGGGCGAGGAGAAAGAAGGGGGTGGAAATAAAACAGCAGCTGTCGCCCGCACATCGGCAGCTCTGCCGCGGGACGTGCCCGGCCGAGCCCGGCTCGGAGCGGGGACTGCCCTCGCCTCGCCCCGCACCCCGCGCCCTCGGCTCCCGCGCTCCGTGACAGCCATTTTGGGGGTTAGACACCTCGGTCCCCCCCGACCCCCGCCTCCAAGTTAGGGAAGCGGGAAGCGGGCCGGGAGCGGGGCCGGAGCGCTGGGAGACGACAAGAAAGTGGCCCGGAGTAGAGCCGGGGAACAAAGAACTTCTCGCCCAAGTGGGTACGTACCTGCCGCCGCTGCCGCCGAGCCCCCGCGCTGCCCATGGGCGAGGGCCGGGACCGCCGGCTCGTCCCCGCGCCGCTCCGCCGCCGCCGCGGCTAGCGGGGCCGGCCCCCGCCGCGGCCGGCGGGCATCCCGCGGGGCAGGGGGACGGGACGGGACACAGGCGGGACGGGGGCGGCAGAGGAGGGCCGGCGGGTGTTGGTGCTGGTTGTTTTATCCCTGCCCGCCTCCCGCGGGGAGCAGCCCGCGCCTCTGCCTCCGTGTGGGGGTGTGTGTGCGCGGGTCCGACATCAGTTTCAGTGATCTTGTAATCTGATCCCTTCTGACTCACTCGCACTGACTGACATTTCTGATTCGGTTCAACAAAAAGAGCAGAGGGGAGGAGAAAAAGAAGAAAAAGAAGAGAGGGAGCAAAAGAAAAAAAAAAAGTATCCCCAAATCTACGGCCTGGTACCAGTTTTGGTGGGGAAGGGGGAACCCCTCCGTTCCGTCCCGTGCCGCCCGTCCCCTCCAGCCCCGCCACCGCCCCGCATTGTTTTGGCTCGGCGCAGCCACCGAAGGAGGGGAACAAACACATCGCGCCGAGGTACTCACGTGTCGGAAAAGTTGTCCCTCTCTCTTTCCTCCGTCTCGCGCGCTCCTCTCCGCCGCCTCCTTCAAGTTTTACAGATGTTGCAGGGCTGCTCGTCGTCGCCTCCCCCTCCTCCCAGCGCTGCCCTCTGGATCAGATCAGGGGAAAGGCTCTTTAGGGATAACTCCCGATTCAAACACCCTCCGCTAAACTTTCCCCATTCCCTCCCCTTCCTCTGAGCGGCGGAGAGGGCTCCGCTTTCCTTCCCCCCTTCCCTCCGCCCGTTCGGGACGCGGCTGGCTGCTGCCCGGGGCGCGGGTGCCCCGGGCGCGGCGGGGAGCGGGGCCGCTTGCCTGGGGGAGCGGCGGAGGGCTGCGCCCCGGGGTGCGGGTCGGGCCGCGGCCTGCCGGGCTGCGACGCGAGCTCTCGGCATGACACCCCCGCTCCCCCCTTCCTCCTCCTCCTCCTCCTCCCCCGCCATCCCCCCGGCCCGGCCCGGCCCGCCCCGGCGGCGGCCCAAGGGCGGCGACACCCCGCCCACAGCCAGAAGGCAGCGCGGGGCGACGGCGGGTCCCCCCCGGAGCGGCCCCTCCGCCTCGGGTCGCGCTTCCTCCCTCTCCCTCCTCTCCCGCTCCATCCTTCGGCTCAGCCTGCATCTGCAGCCCCATTTCCCGCGCACCGATGCCTTGGACACCCCCTTTTCCCGCCCGCCAAAAATCCAGGGCTTTTTGGGGGTAAACGTGCCCTTCGCGTGGGTTTTCTGTGTATGCTGCGCCTTTTGGGCTCACGTTCGCTCTGGCGCAGCAGGCTGACTTGACTGAAGGACTTCAAGGAAAGTTTCACCTAAGCCATGTGACACCGACAGATAGCTCTTTTGGAGAAAAAATACAAGTGCTTTGTCGAGGGGAAAAGTGGCGGTGATGCCTGCGCCGGCTCCTCCTTTCCCAGCCCACCTGCCAGCCTCCTCAGCACCCTGCCAGGCTCCTCTGGCCTTCAACCTACGAAACAGGGCTCTCAGCTGCCTCCGTCTTTGGCCCTCATCTCCGTTCTTCCTCCGGGCTCCTTGCGAGCAGGTTTCTCACAGCAGCATGCTGCAGTCCAGAAATAGCAGGAACTAGGATGCCATTTGTTCCAGTATCTCCATCCTTCGGGAAATGATGTGTCCTGACAAGACACCTTACATTTCCAAAGTTCTGCAGATTGCTCCCTGATATTAAAAAAGTCTGAGAAACCGTAAATTAACACTACCACAACCATTTTCCATCAAGTCACAAGGTGGGACTGGCTCTCGGGAAAAGTATATGTGTATATATATATATAAATATATTTAAATTGCTGCCGTCACAATATCAGATACTTTACATGCACTTTTGTTCATAACCTGACTCACAACACAGCCAAGTAAAGATTTGTTACTGATACATGCAATTTAGCAAGGTACCCGAGCTTGGGCTACATTTGGAAAGTCCTCAAAAAATTAGTGGTTCTTGACAAAATGTTATGTTTGCTGATGGAAATGAAAGACTGATTTGATGCTGTGTATTTCATAAAGCTTCTCTTAGTCTCACCATTGAAAATGTTGATTTTATTACAAAACAAAGCTGCAGGTATTTGTGGTTTGAGATTACTTGGTCCACTAGTTTTTTAAAAACAAAGAGAAAGCAATCTTACCTAACTCAAAGGGCCACTTCAACCCTAATTTCCTCAGGCTAACTGGCTTGGTGTTGTTTTTCACCTGTAAATCTTTTCTGGGTGCAAGAAGTAGCTTTAGCGAGATGCCTATAATACATGGATGTTCCTGCTACGGTCAGACTAATTGCCCTGGCAGTCCCAGGGATGCCTTTTATATGCACATTTTACAGCACCAGGTCAGCACAGCCTGACTTTCAGGATAGACACAGTAGTCAGATGCTGTCACACTGAGTGAGAGTTGCACATTGTTCAAGCTGCCACGCATGCCCGGGCACTGTTGGAGGTGGGCACCGGGGACCAGATGAGAGCCTGTGCTCTGGTGCCATGCCTCCGAAGCCAGTGATTTCACAGCACACCAAGAGACAAATCTGCCCCTGCTCAGAAGGAGCAGCCCCTGGCTGCCCAAGCAATACTGCTGACATGCATAGTGCTACACAGGGAAGAGGCATGTGCAACACCAGCATCTGAATGCCAATATGAAGAGCTGATATTCTTCCAACTTTTTTATCTTATATGACTTCCTTTTCCAGTCTCATGTTCCCAGGAAAATGTTAGCTGTTTCATGATATATGATAATAGTGGTGTAGTACTGCGGATGTTTTGTTTTAGCTATATGTGCTATATACACCACCATATGTATGTACTTTATGTGACATGCACACCACCCCCTGATACATATATATGTGCTGGGGGAGTGCTGGTGCACAGAGTGATTAGGCAAACCTCAGGTCCCTTTACAGATATGTTTAAGAGCAATATGATTCCTTCGGCCCATTGTACTCTTCTCTCATTTTCTGCCTCTTGCTTATTCCTTTCTATTTTATGCAATCAATTTTCTTAAACTCTTTTTTTTTTCTCTTTGTATAATGAAAACCCTTAAAAGTAACAGGGGAAATTAACCAACATCCAAAATGATACTTTGTAAAAGAAACAAATTAATGTGGAAAATCCTGTTTGACTCACCATTTATAATTCAGTATTGCTGATGTTAAGATACTGCTTTTAATAATAGCTTAAAAGACATTTAAACTGGGGCATGATTTTGAGACTGGGCCTTCAGGTCAGTATTCATCTTAGACTTTTTTAAAAATAAGCTATTTCCTCAGAGTTTGGACATCTTGTTACATCATGAAACAGCTCTTTGAGTTTTGGGGGTTTTTGTTTGTTTTTAATATTATTCACACCAACTCTTCTCAAGACACATATTTCTAATTTGAGATAAATAACCCAAAGCATTTCTCTACACTTAATTCACATTAAGACAGACAAAAAAATATAAAGAGGTGATAGAATGCTTTAACATTTGCTTATGAAAAATAGCTTTCTGATGCATTTCTGAGCAGTGAAAGTCTTGAGAGAAGGGAAACACAGAAACAATAACTGAAGTTTCTGCTTGTGCCTCTGTCTGCTCAGGCCAAGCAGAAAATAAAAACTGATGGTGAGTGGGTGACATTTGCCATTTGAAACGTACTGTAAATGTTTCAACACCTTGACAATGAAGAGTGCAAAAGAAGCTTAGAACATCCAACCCTTCAGCTTAACAAAATGAAAATGGGCAGCTCTGTTCAGGGAGGTGCCTTTCTTATCATCTTTCATGTCTGATTCAGAGGAATCGTACTTGAAAGATGCAATGGGAAGACAAAAACTACACATTAATAAAACATAATGATTTTTCCACGTCTGGATTGCACCTCCAAGAGAAACTAACCTCTGAGATTTGTCTATGATGTTTCCCTGCAAGTAGGAATTGGCTCCTGCAGAAGACCTGTTGACCTGTTACAAAACTCATTTCTCTGACTCAATATGCCACAACCACAGGGCATTTCTGCTGTGAGTTATATCATGCATGATACTTTTGCATTTCTTCAGCCTACCTTGTCTCCCCGCTTCTTCTCAGCCTCTGACTTGAAAATTACAGTCCTCCAAGGTGTGCATTTGTCTTCTCCTTTTGCTGCACCTGTTGTTACAGGAAAGCACAGTCAGAAGGAGCAGAGACTCTGCTCATAAGCTGTATGCAAAAGACCTGATATTCAGTGACACCAAGAACCAGTCTCCTCACCACTCCCAGGTGCACCACCCTCCACCTTCTCTCCAATCCCAGCAAATGCTCTACAGGACATATTCAAGGACCTTAACTGTTGCTGTTTATCCAGTTGACATCCAGTAGAAGACAAAGGTTTTAAAACAGTCCCTTTCTTGACAGTAGGCAATTACAAGAATACATTCTATGAAACAGACAGGTCTGCTGTGATTTCACAGGGACAACCTCAGGTAAAGCTGTGGAATATGGAGCAACGGCACCGATTTCTGGTCATTTATGCAATATCCATCACAAGAGAGCTTGACCAGTGCATCTTGCCCCTACCTACATATCTCCTGTGTTGCATGGCTGCCTCTTACAGCAGATGTGTCTCAAGAGTTACCTAGTGGAAGGAAAAGAGGAGTATAAGATGGTATCATGTCAGAATCCTCAAAGTCTGCACAAGCTGCAGCTGGGGGCACAAGGAAAGATTCATGGCCCAAGGTGGGATGAAGAACTGGTGCATGGAGGCAGCCACATTTGGGAAGGATATAAAGGTCAGGCAAAAACCTTATCTGCAGTTACTGTCAGGCAATTGATTTAGAAAAGGCAAATGATGTGGGGTCTGAGAAACAACTAATTGTTTGGTTCTGAAAGAAATTATAAACTGATGTGCCACTACACACTAGTGTAAATTAGTAACTTTGGATTCTTTCATTATTTGGATGTTTGATTTTTATTACTGCCATTGAAAAAAAAAAAGGAAATTTATCAGCAAATATCCAGATGTGTCAAATAGCAACCTTCATTCAGGAGTCTCAGTTTTCTAAGGATGGTCATTGCAGCCTTTCACAGACTTGATATACATAATTCCTCTGGTAGTCCATAGCAAGGAACCACTATATCTTTCTCCTTCTTTTGCTAACACTGGAGACATTGCTAGATTTCAGTGGAAAAAGGACTGAACCCTAATGATCAGATTTATCTTTCTACTCTAGCAGATCATTTTTTGTACACCATCCTATTTCTCTGAATGGTGAATCTAACTAACCTAGCTATTTATAACATATAGTCATGATTAAGTTTTTTGAATACTGTATAAAAAAATTAAACAGTGAATAATATAATAAAATATAATATAATTAAAATGCAGTTAATTTTTAGCCCCTTCTATCTTGTAAATATGTAAAATTACATATTTATTTTTCAGATTCTGTTGTGATTACTGAAGGAAAATTAAGACTAAGAGATGAGTTTTACACACAGACAAAAAGGACAATTTTATGCAGTAAATTCTTTACTTTTGGACTGTCTACATAGAAAGTCTGAGTTCTCCATCTCTTAAATACTAACTTATTAAAATACTTTCACCCTCCTTGACTTTAGATGTATGTTTGCATTAAAACTCTTCATTACTATGAACATTCTTCAGAAGAATATTTTCTTCTTACAGGAAATTAAAATGGTGTTGTTCTGCGTGAGATATTTTGATATATGACCATAAACACACCAAACAAACAAGCAAGGGAGTTTCCTTTGTTTGCTTTTAAAAGCACCCTGTACATGTT